CATTCGATGCAGCAAATCAATGTGAGAGGGTGCCTTCTGAGTTCTATACTGACATTCTGGGTTCTAGATCAGCCTGTGAGAATGGCTCCCGCCGCAAAGATAAAACAATCGATGCAGCAAATCAACGTGAAAGGATACCTTCTGGGTTCTAGATTGACATTCTGGATTCTAGATTGACCTGTGAGAATGACCCCCGCCGCAAAGAGACAATATTCGATGCGGCAAATCAAGAATCCAATGGAGGCAATTAGGAAACTTTTCCAAAGTTTGGGTTAGGGAAGTTGTTGCCCTTGAAGCAAAGGAGACATTTCCCGTGCAAGGGGATACCATTCAGGTTCTAGATTGACCTCTGAGAATGGCTCCACTCTAAAGAGACAACGTTCAATGCGGCAAATCAAGATTCTGATGGAGGTAAACAACAGGAAACCTTTCCAAAGTTTGGGTTAGGGTTAGGGTTGCCTTTGAAGCAAAGGAGACATTTCCCATGCAAGAGTACACCGCCTGGGTTCTAGATTGGCACTCTGGGTTCTAGATTGACCTCTGAGAATGGCTCCCAGTCTAAAGAGACAACGTTCAATGCGGCAAATCAAGAATCCGATGGAGGTAAACAACAGGAAACTTTTCCAAGGTTTAAGTTAGGGAAGAGGTTGCCTTTTAAAGCAAAGGAGACATTTCTCATCCAAGAGTATACATTCTGGGTTCTAGACTGACAGTCCAGGTTCTAGACTGACCTGTGAGAACGGCTCCTACTGCAAAGAGAAAATGTTCGATATGGCAAATCAAGAATATGGTGGAGGCAATTTGATAGGAGCAGATTAAAAAGGACTGTGTGTCCCGTCCCCCCCAAATGTGTATGTGTGCACGAACATGGTTCAAATTCATTATTAGGACACATTGCGGATTCTTTTAAAAAGATCCCAGGGTGGCATTTTGAGAACAGCCACGATGGATCTAGAAGGGGCAGATCTAGCCTTGGGATGCAGATAGAAGTGCATTCATTGTATGTTTGCAAAAAGGAGCACCAGTTTCATTCCCTAAAGAAGCGTTTCCCAACCTTTGCTCCCCTAAGTCAGGCATGGGCCAACTTCGACTCTCCCGCCAGGTGTTTTGGACTTCAACTCCCACAATCCCTAACAGCCAGGCTTCTCACAGGTGGAAAGTTCAAACCTGGATCCACCCTGAAGATGGAGAAGGAGGAGGAGATGGAGAAGAAAGGGAATGGAGGAGAAGGAGGAGGAGATGAAAGTGAAGAAGAAGGGAATGGAGAATGGAGGAAGAGATGGAGAAGAAGAGGAGGAAGAGAGAAGGAGGAGGAGATGGAGAAAGAAAGGGGAAAGAGAGGAGAGAAGGAGGAGGAGATGGAGGAGAAGGGGAATGGAGAAGAAGGGACTGGATGAGAAAATAGAGCATGAAGGAGAAGACAGAAGAAGAAGGGGAAGAGAGAAGGAGGAGATGGAGAAGAAAAAGGGAGAGAAGAGGAGATGGAGGAGAACGGGAACGGAGGAGAAAACAGAGAAGGACAATAAGATGGAGAAATATAGGAGGAAAAGAGAAGGAGAAGAGGGAGATGGAGAAGAAGAAGGGAGGAGAAAATAGAGGAGATGGAGGAGGAGAAGGGGAAGAGAAGAGAGAAGAAGGGGAGGGAGAAGGAGAATGCAGAAGATAGAGAATGAGGGTAACACAGAGGAGAAGATGGAATAGAAGAAGAGGAAAGGATGGGAGAAGGGGGGGAGATGGAGAAGAAGAAGGGGAAGAAAGAAGGAGTAGGGTGAAATAGAGAAGAAGAAGGGAATGAAGATAGAGAAAGAGAAGTAGGAGAAGGGAAGGAGAGAAGGAGGAGATGGAGAAGAAAAGGGTAGAGAAAAGAAGGAGGAGGAGATGGAGGAGAACGGGAATGGAGAAGTTAGAGGAGAAGGAGATTGAGAAGAAGGAGAAGAGAAGAGATAAGGAGGGGAGATGGAGAAGAAAACAGAGGAGAACGATAAGATGGAGAAGTATAAGAGGAAGAGAGAAGGAGAAGAGGGAGATGGAGAAGAAGGAGAAGAGAAGGAGGAGGGGAGGGAGAAGAAGGAGAATAGAGGAGGATAGAGGAGGATAACATAGAGAAGATGGAGAAGAAGAAGGGGAAGAAAGGTGGGTAAGATGGAGAAGAAGAAGGGAATGGAGAAGGAGGAGGAGATGATGGAGAAGAAAAGGGGAGAGGAGAGGAGGAGAAGGGGAATGAAGGAGGTTAGAGGAGGAGGAGGGAGATGGAGAAGAAGAAGGGAGGAGAAAATAGAGGAGGACATGGAAGAAGGAGGGGAAGAGAAGGAGGGGAGGGAGAAGAAGGAGATTGGAGAAGATAGAGGAGGAGGATAACAGAGGAGAAGATGGAGTAGAAGAAGAGGAAAGGAAAGGAGAAAGGGAGAAGATGGAGAAGAAGAAGGGGGAAGGGAGGAGAAAACAGGAGAAGGGGGAGAAGATGGAGAAGAAGAAGGGGAAGAAAGAAGGTGATGGAGAAGAAGAAGGGAATGGAGGAGAAGATAGAGGAGGAGAAGATGGAGAAAAAAGGGAAGGAGATGGAGAAGAAGGGAAAGGGAGTAAGTAGGAGGATGAAACAGAAGGAAGAGAAGGAGGAGGAGATTGAGAAGAAGGGGAAGAGAAGAGAGAAGGAAGAAGGGAGATGGAGAAGAAGAAGGGGAATGGAGGAGAAAACAGAGAACGATAAGATTGAGAAGTATAAGAGGAAGAGAGAAGGAGAAGAGGAAGATGGAGAAGAAAAAGGGATGACACCTAGAGGAGATGGAGAAGAAAAAGGGGAAGGGAAGAGAGAAGGAGGAGGGGAGGGAGAAGAAGGAGAATGGAGAAGATAGAAGAGGAGAATAACAGAGGAGAAGATGGAATAGAAGAAGAGGAAAGGAAGGGAGAAAGGGAGGAGATGGAGAAGGGAAGGAAGAGGAGAAGAAGGAGGGGAGATGGAGAAGAAAACAGAGGAGAACGATAAGATGGAGAAGTATAAGAGGAAGAGAGAAGGAGAAGAGGGAGATGGAGAAGAAGGAGAAGAGAAGGAGGAGGGGAGGGAGAAGAAGGAAAATGAAGGAGAAGATAGAGGAGGATAACATAGAGGAGAAGATGGAGTAGAAGAAGAGGAAAGGGAGGAGATGGAGAAGAAGAAGGGGAAGAAAGCTGGGTAAGATGGAGAAGAAGGGAATGGAGGAGAAGGAGATGGAGAAGAAAAGGGTAGAGAAAAGGAGGAGGAGATGGAGGAGAACGGGAATGGAGAAGTTAGAGGTGAAGGAGATTGAAAAGAAGGGGAAGAGAAGAGAGAAGGAGGAGAAGAGATGGAGAAGAAGAAGGGAGGAGAAAATAGAGGAGATGGAAAAGAAGAAGGGGAAGAGAAGGAGGAGGGGAGGGAGAAGAAGGAGAATGGAGGAGACGATAGAGGAGGAGGATAACAGAGAAGATGTAGAAGAAAAGGAAAGGGAGGAGATGGAGAAGATGAAGGGAGGAGAAGATGGAGAAGAAGAAGAAGGGGAATGGAGGAGAAAACAGGAGAAGGGGGAGAAGATGGAGAAGAAGAAGGGGAAGAAAGAAGGTGATGGAGAAGAAGAAGGGAATGGAGGAGAAGATAGAGGAGGAGAAGATGGAGAAGAAGAAGAAGGGGAATGGAGGAGAAAACAGGAGAAGGGGGAGAAGATGGAGAAGAAGAAGGGGAAGAAAGAAGGTGATGGAGAAGAAGAAGGGAATGGAGGAGAAGATAGAGGAGGAGAAGATGGAGAAGAAGAAGAAGGGGAATGGAGGAGAAAACAGGAGAAGGGGGAGAAGATGGAGAAGAAGGGAAGAAAGAAGGTGATGGAGAAGAAGAAGGGAATGGAGGAGAAGATAGAGGAGGAGAAGATGGAGAAGAAGAAGAAGGGGAATGGAGGAGAAAACAGGAGAAGGGGGAGAAGATGGAGAAGAAGAAGGGGAAGAAAGAAGGTGATGGAGAAGAAGAAGGGAATGGAGGAGAAGATAGAGGAGGAGAAGATGGAGAAGAAGAAGAAGGGGAATGGAGGAGAAAACAGGAGAAGGGGGAGAAGATGGAGAAGAAGAAGGGGAAGAAAGAAGGTGATGGAGAAGAAGAAGGGAATGGAGGAGAAGATAGAGGAGGAGAAGATGGAGAAGAAGAAGAAGGGGAATGGAGGAGAAAACAGGAGAAGGGGGAGAAGATGGAGAAGAAGAAGGGGAAGAAAGAAGGTGATGGAGAAGAAGAAGGGAATGGAGGAGAAGATAGAGGAGGAGAAGATGGAGAAGAAGAAGAAGGGGAATGGAGGAGAAAACAGGAGAAGGGGGAGAAGATGGAGAAGAAGAAGGGGAAGAAAGAAGGTGATGGAGAAGAAGAAGGGAATGGAGGAGAAGATAGAGGAGGAGAAGATGGAGAAGAAGAAGAAGGGGAATGGAGGAGAAAACAGGAGAAGGGGGAGAAGATGGAGAAGAAGAAGGGGAAGAAAGAAGGTGATGGAGAAGAAGAAGGGAATGGAGGAGAAGATAGAGGAGGAGAAGATGGAGAAGAAGAAGAAGGGGAATGGAGGAGAAAACAGGAGAAGGGGGAGAAGATGGAGAAGAAGAAGGGGAAGAAAGAAGGTGATGGAGAAGAAGAAGGGAATGGAGGAGAAGATAGAGGAGGAGAAGATGGAGAAGAAGAAGAAGGGGAATGGAGGAGAAAACAGGAGAAGGGGGAGAAGATGGAGAAGAAGAAGGGGAAGAAAGAAGGTGATGGAGAAGAAGAAGGGAATGGAGGAGAAGATAGAGGAGGAGAAGATGGAGAAAAAAGGGAAGGAGATGGAGAAGAAGGGAAAGGGAGTAAGTAGGAGGATGAAACAGAAGGAAGAGAAGAGAAAATGAGAGCAGGAAGAAAAGGGGGAAATGGGAAAGAGAAGGGGTAGGAAGACAGCAAGTAAGCAAAAGAAGGACGAAAAAGAAAAAAAGGAAGGAGAGGAGGAAAACAGGCGAGAAGAATAGCGCACCCTCCTCCTTCTTGCCTTGGTTTTCTACACAAAGGGCGTTTATTTTTGAGTCAAAGAAGCGCTTCCCTTTTAAAACCGCAGCTTAATTTCCCGCAGGAAACGCCACCCAGGTTTTTCCAGCAGGACGCCTGGACGGCTACCGCGCGGTGGGTGACACATCCCTGAGCATGGATCATTGCAAAACGCTTGGGGCAAAAACAAATCAGAACGGAGTTAAAAGTCACTCAATGGGGATGGGTTGGAGGGCGCGCCCGCCGCACGAAGGCGAACCGAATCTCCCGGCAAGGCTGCGTAGGGGTGGCGGCACGAATCCAGGGAGGGAGGAGGCGACAAAGACATCCCTTCTGTTTTGTGCAAACCACAGTGAATGCGAAGAAAGTCCTGACTCCCGCTCTGCTGCTCTCTGTTCGCGGGGAGAAACCGGGTCGAGGCGGTGCCAGTTCTGTTTTGTTCGGCTTTGGAGAAATTCTTAAGAATCGTCGGCGAGGATCTCTGTGATGAAGGAGACCATGTCGGTCTCTTTGGTGTCGTGCAGGGTGAAGAACGGGTGGGCCTGTGAGGGAGGAAAAAAGGGAATAGTGATGCACTCCGGAAAAAGGAACCATTGAACCTTAGATAACAACAACAACAACAACAACAACAACAACAACAACAGAAGAGGAATTTTCCAGGGAGACTCATTGTCCCCACTGCTTTTCATCATTGCCATGATCCCTCTGTCTTACAAAGAACAAATGCCAGTAATACAGCTTAATGGCGCAACATTAGAAAATGTGGACCATTTCCGCTCCCTTGGCATCCACCTCTCCACCAAAGTCAACATCGACGCTGAAATACAACACCGCCTGAGCTCTGCAAGTGCAGCATTTTCCAGAATGAAGCAGAGAGTGTTTGAGGACCGGGACATCCGTAGGGATACCAAGGTGCTTGTTTATAAAGCTATTGTCCTCCCAACCCTGCTATATGCCTGTGAGACGTGGACTGTCTACAGACGTCACATGCAGCTCCTGGAACGTTTCCATCAGCGCTGCCTCCGGAAAATCCTGCAAATCTTCTGGGAAGACAGGCGGACAAACGTCAGCGTGCTGGAAGAAGCAAGACCACCAACATTGAAGCGATGGTCCTCCGCCATCAACTCCGCTGGACTGGCCACGTTGTCCGGATGCCCGACCACCGTCTCCCAAAGCAGTTGCTCTACTCCGAACTCAAGAACGGAAAACGGAATGTTGGTGGGCAGGAAAAGAGATTTAAAGATGGGCTCAAAGCCAACCTTAAAAACTCTGGCATAGACACTGAGACCTGGGAAGCCCTGGCCCTTGAGTGCTCCAGCTGGAGGTCAGCTGTGACCAGCAGTGCTGCAGAATTTGAGGAGGCACGAGTGGAGGGTGAAAGAGAGAAACGTGCTAGGAGGAAGGCGCGTCAAGCCAACCCCGACCGAGACCGCCTTCCACCTGGAAACCAATGCCCTCACTGTGGAAGAAGATGCAGAGCAAGAATAGGTCTCCACAGCCACATACGGACCCACAAGGAAATCCATAATGGAAGACCATCTTACTCGTCCAACGAGGGATCGCCTAAGTAAGTAAGTAAGTAAGTACAAAGAACAAACCTCAGCTATCAAACGTCTCAGAGATCTCACAAAATTTCACATTTGCTGTACATGGATGACCTGAAGCTGTGTGGGAAAACCGAAACTGAAATCCAGTCTCTGACTAACACTGTCCGAATCTTTAGCACGGATCTCAACATGGAGTTTGGTTTGGACAAATGTTCGACAGTGGCGCTGAAGAAGGGAAAAATCATGGAACGTGAGGGCATAAATATGCGGAAAAGTGTCCCCAGCCTGAGGCCTATAAATATCTGGGCAGACTACAGCCAGGCAACATCGAACATGAACATGTGAAAACTGTGGTCAGCAAAGAATACATTCAAAGCAGTGTTTCTCAACCTTCCTAACGCCGCGACCCCTTAATACAGTTCCTCATGTTGTGGTGACCCCTAACTATAAAATTATTTTCGCTGCTACTTCATAACTGTAATTTTGCTATTTTGCTAAACAACAGAGAGGAAAAAACCAGGCACAGATTAACACCTCCCAGCAACAGATTTTCCCAGACTCAGGCAGGCCTTCAAATGCTAATGAAGGTGATCAGCTAAACATTCACACCTAACTGCAGCAGGGAAGAGCTCCTTGCCCCACCCCAGCCATTCCACAGATATATAAGCCCATTTTTCCTACTTCCAACAGACCTTCTCAACCTCTGAGGATGCTTGCCATAGATGCAGGCGAAATGTCAGGAGAAATGCCTCTAGAACATGGCTCTATAGCCCGAAAAAAACCCACAAGAACCTAGTGATTCCAGCCATGAAAGCCTTCGACAATACAATTTTGCTATTGTTACAAATCGTAACGTAAATATCTGATCTGCAGGATGTATTTTCATTCACTGGACTAAATTTGGCACAAATACCCAATACACCCAAATGGGATTGAGGGCGGTTGATTTTGTCATTTGGGATTTCTAGTTCAACCATAATCAAAGAGCATTCTGAACTCCACCAATGATGGAATTGAATCAAACTTGACACACAGAATTCCCATGACTAACAGAAAATACTGGAAGGGTTTGGTGGGCATTGACCTTGAGTTTTGGAGTTGTAGTTCACCTACATCCAGAGAGCACCGTGGACTCAAACAATGATGGATATGGGCCAAACCTGTTACGAATACTCAACATGCCCAAATGCAAACACTGGTAGAGTTTGGGGGAAATAGACCTTGACATTTGGGAGTTGTAGTTACTGGGATTTCTAGTTCACCTACAATCAAAGCGCAATCTGAACCCTACCAACGAAAGAATTGGGCCAAACTTCCCACACAGAATCCCCATGACCAACACAAAACACTGTTTTCTCTGATGGTCTTTGGCGACCCCTTTGACACCACCTTGCGACCCCCAGGTTGAGAAACACTGATTCAAAGGGTCAGAAAAAATCTCAAAAGCAAGCTCAATGGAGGCAACACCATCAAGGTCATCAGCACCTGGGCCATACCTGTCGTAAGATATACTGCTGACATCATAAACTGGACACAGGCAGAACTGGACAATTTGGACAGAAAAACTAAAAAACTTATGACTGTTCATAATTCATTCCATCCTCACAGTGATGTTGACCGGCTCTATCTGCCGAGAAAGTTTGGTGGCAGAGGACTTTTACAAGTCAAACAAACAGTTGAAGAAGAAAAACACGATGCCCTGGCAGAAGATGTCAAGGAAAGTTGAGAAGGAGAAGACCTGGTGATGGTTCATGAATGGAACCCTGAAGAAGGAGGCAGAAGAAGGCCTGGTTCTTGCAGCCCAGGAGCAAGCCATCAGAACCAAGGCCATTAAGGTCCGGATTGAAAAATCAGCCAATCACCCAAAATGCAGGCTGTGCAAGGAAGCGGATGAAACCATGGACCATCTCCTCAGCTGTTGCAAGAAAATCGCACAGACGGACTACAAACAGAGGCACAACTCTGTGGCCCAGGTGATTCACGGGAACTTATCTCACAAGGACCACCTGCCAGCAGTAAAGAATTGGTGGGATCATAAACCCGCAAAGGTCGTGGAAAATGAACATGCAAAAATATTGTGCGGCTTTCAAATCCAGACTGACAAAGTTTTGGAACACAACACGCCAGACATCACGATTGTGGAAAAGAAAAAAGTCAGGATTATTGATAGAATCATAGAATCCAAGAGTTGGAAGAGACCTCCTGGGCCATCCAGTCCAACCCCATTCTGCCAAGAAGCAGGAAAATCGCATTCAAAGCACCCCCGACAGATGGCCATCCAGCCTCTATTTAAAAGCCTCCAAAGAAGGAGCCTCCACCACACTCCAGGGCAGAGAGTTCCACTGCTGAACAGCTCTCACAGTCAGGAAGTTCTTCCTAATGTTCAGATGGAATCTCCTTCTTGTAGTTTGAAGCCATTGTTCTGACTCCGGGAGCAGAGAGTTCCACTGCTGAACGGCTCTCACAGTCAGGAAGTTCTTCCTCATGTTCAGATGGAATCTCCTCTCTTGTAGTTTGAAGCCCACCACACTCCGGGGCAGAGAGTTCCACTGCTGAACGGCTCTCACAGAATCATAGAATCACCCCTGACAGATGGCCATCCAGCCTCTGTTTAAAAGCTTCCAAAGAAGGAGCCTCCACCACACTCCGGGGCAGAGAGTTCCACTGCTGACCGGCTCTCACAGTCAGGAAGTTCTTCCTCATGTTCAGATGGAATCTCCTCTCTTGTAGTTTGAAGCCATTGTTCCATTGCGTCCTAGTCTCCAAGGAAGCAGAAAACAGGCTTGCTCCCTCCTCCTCCCTGTGGCTTCCTCTCACATATTTATACATGGCTATCATATCTCCTCTCAGCCTTCTCTTCTTCAGGCTAAACATGCCCAATTCCCTAAGCCGCTCCTCATAGGGCTTGTTCTCCAGACCTTTTATCATTTTAATCGCCCTCCTCTGGACACATTCCAGCTTGTCAATATCTCTCTTGAATTGTGGTGCCCAGAACTGGACACAATATTCCAGATGTGGTCTAACCAAAGCAGAATAGAGGGGTAGAGGGGTATTCGCCATTCCAGGTGAGAGTCGCATTGAGGAAAAACGACAGGAGAAACTCAGCCGCTATCAAGACCTCAAAATCGAACTCCAAAGGCTCTGGCATCAACCAGTCCAGGTGGTCCCAGTGGTCATGGGCACACTGTGTGCCATGCCAAAAGATCTCAGCCGGCATTTGGAAACAATAAACATCGACAAAATCACGATCTGTCAACTGCAAAAGGCCACCTGACTTGGATCTGCGTACATCATTCAAAAATACATCATACAGTCCTAGACGCTTGGGAAGGGTCCGACTTGTGATTTTGTGATATGAAATCCAGCATAGAGATCTCGTTTACTGTGATATACTGTGCTTTTGTATCAGTACAACAACAACAACAACAACAACAACGTATCTCCTTCTTTGTCCCACCTCGGAGTTTAAGATCTTCTGGGGAGGCCCTGCTCTCGGCCCCGCCTGGTAGGGACGAGGCTGGTAGGGACGAGGGACAGGGCCTTCTCAGTGGTGGCCCCTCGCCTGTGGAATTCACTCCCCGGGGAAATTAGGTCATCAACATCCCTCCTCTCCTTTAGAAGCTGAAAACATGGATATGGGACCAGGCCTTCGGGTAATCTGGCAGACTGACAAGGTAATGACGACCAGAATCTGGAAAGGACTATGGTAATGCTGAATGGACTTACGGATTTTAGAACTCGGTGAACGTTGGCTACTAGATTGGCTTTTAATTGTTACTGTTTTAATTGACTGTTTTAACTATTGTGTTATTACTGTTATGTAATTTATCTGTTGAATGGTTGCCATCGAATTGTGCCGGTTGTAAGCCGCCCGGAGTCCCCGCTTGGGGGTTGAGAAGGGCGGGGTAGAAGTGCCCGAAATAAATAAATAAGTAAACAACTTTATTTATATACCGCTCTACCTCCCCTGGGGGACTCAGGGCGGTTTCCAAATTTTAAAAGCACAAAACCATACAGTGTAAGAAGAAGAAAAAAACAATACATAAGCATAAAACAGTCAAACAACACATCTATCTATATTCTATATATATAATAAAGAAGAGTGTTTGTATCGGAATTGTGGAGGGCGGTGTATGTGCCAGCGTTCTGATTGGCTGCCGCTGTGGTGCTATTTGCATATGGTCTCTGATTGGCCAGCTTCAATAGGAGCCCCTGGTGGAGAAGAGGGTTCATGGCAGAAACGGGGCATGACAGAAGGAAATTTGCATATGGTCTCTGATTGGCCAGCCTCAAATCCAACATTCCGAGATGACAAAGAGAGGAAAGGAAAGGCCGGGGGCTGGGTCAGAACACTCCCAATACAGACGAAATAGGCACACAGAGCCCCCATCACCCACTCTACATCCTACTGCAGTTTGGAGGAGTATGAACCATGGATGATGGGGCTTGCAGTACCACCACTCACATTCTGAGACCGCTGTTAACCTTATCCAATGACTGATCAGGACCAAACTTCGCACAGAGACCTCTCATGACCCACTTTACGTCCTGGTGTGGTTTGGCCGGGATGGACCGTGGATTATGGGACTTGCAGTACCATTGCTCATTCTTCAGACCACTGCAACCCTCATCCAATTAATAAAGACCAAACTTGGCACACTGAGTCTCCATGACGCACTCTACATCCAGGTGCAGTTTGAAGGAGGATGCACCATGGACGATGGGACTTGCAATACCTGCACTCCCTTCCTGAGACCATTACAACTGCCAACAATGATGGATCAGGACCACAATTTACACAGAGAGCCGGCATGACCCACTCTACATCCTGGTGCGGTTTGGAAGAATTTGTCAATGGATGATGGGACTTGCAGTCACTTCACTCACTTCCTGAGACCACTGAGACCCTCGCCAATGACTCATCAAGACTAAACTTGGCACATGGAGCTTCAATGACCCACTCTACATCCTGGAGCAGTTTGGAGGACGACAGACCATGGATGATGGGACTTCAAGTACCTCCACTACCCAAGACTGCTGCAAAACTCATCTAATGACCAATCAAGACCAAAGTTGGCACATAGAGCCCCCATGACCCACTCTACATCCTGCTGCAGTTTTGGAGAAGGGTGGACCATGGATGATGGAACTTCCAGTACCTTCACTCACATTCTGAGACCTCTGCAAACCTCATCCAATGACGGATCGAGACCAAACTTGGCACATAGACCTCTCATGACCCACTTTACGTCCTGGTGTTCTTTGGAAAACTTTGGAGATGGATAATGGGACTTGCAGTACCTTTGCTCACTTCCTGAGACCACTGAGACCCTCGCCAATGACTACTCAAGACTAAACTTGGCACATGGAGCTCCAATGACCCACTCTACATCCTGCTGCAGTTTGGAGGAGGACAGACCATGGATGATGGGACTTCAAGTACCTCCACTCCCTTCCAAAGATTGCTGCAACCCTCTTCTAATGACCAATCAAGACCAAACTTTGGCACACAGAGCCCCCATGATCCACTCTACATCCTGCTGCAGTTTGAAAGGGGATGGACTTTGTATGATGGGACTTGCAGTACCTTCACTCACTTACTGACACCACTGCCACCCTCATCCAATGACTGATAAAGACCAAATTTGGCACACAGAGCCCCCATGACCCACTCCTTCACTCACTTCCTGAAAATAATGCAGCCGTTATCCAAAGACCAATAAAGACCAAACTTGGCATACAGAACCACCAATACCCACTTTCTCTAATAACCCGGGCAACGCCGGGTCCCCAAGCTAGTATATAATAAAAGTCAGTGTTTGTATGCGGAGGACGGTGTATGTGGCAGCTTTCTGATTGGCTGCCACTTTCACAGGCCACTGTGACCAGCACGGGTGACAGACCTGGACCAAACTTGGCACACATAACCCCCATGACCCCCTTTACATCCTGGTGAGGTTTGGGGGAGGACAGACAAAGGATGATGGGATTTGTAGTACTTTCAAACCCATTGGTTCCCACAGACCACTGTGGCCCCCAACAAAGACTGATAAAGACCAAACTTGGCACACAGAGCCCCCATGACCCACTCTACATCCTACTGCAGTTTGCAGAAGGTCTGACCATGGATGATGGGACTTGAAGTACCTCCACTCACTTCCCGAAACTGCTGCGACCCTCATCCAATGACCAATCAAGACCAAACTTGGCACGCATAACCCCATGACCCTCTTTACGTCCTGGTGAGGGTTGGGGGAGGACGGACAATGGATGAGGGGATTTGTAGTACTTTCCCACCCCTTTTGTTCCCACAGACTACTGCGGCCCCCAACAAAGACCGATAAAGACCAAACTTGACACACAGAGCCCCCATGACCCACTCTACATCCTACTGTTGTTTGGAGGAGGGTGGGCCATGGATGATGGGACTTGCAGTACATCCACTCACTTCCCAACTGCTGCAACCCTCATCCAGTGACTGATCAAGATCAAACTTGGCACACAGAGCCCCCATGACCCACTCTACATCCTGGTCCAGTTTCGAGGAGGATGGACCACAGATGATGGAACTTGAAGTACCTCCACTCGCTTCCCGAGACCGCTGTGACACTCATCCAATGACTGATCAAGACCAACCTTGCATGACCCACTCTACATCCTGGTGCAGTTTGGTGGAGGATAGACCACAGATGATGGGACTTGAAGTACCTTCACTCACTTCCCGAGACCGCTGCGAACCTCATCCAATAACGGATAAAGACCAAACTTGGCACACAGAGCCCCCATGACCCACTCTACATCCTGGTGCTGTTTGGAGGTCGATGGACCATGGACGATGGGACTCACAGTACCTTCACTAACTTCCTGAGAGCACTGAGAGCCACATAAATACCTGATAAAGACCAACCTTGGTGCACAATGCTTTTCTCAAATTACCTGGGCAGCGCCGGGTCCCCAAGCTAGTGTACAATAAAATCAATCAACCTTATTCTTCGTGCCAGGATTAACTATGAGGGCTGGGCCAGAGGTGGTGCAAAGTAAGCCACAGGGTAAGCCATTTCCTGAGCCAATTGAGAAACTGATTAGGGTAATAGGTAGGGGTAAAGGGCCAGATTCTAAGTAGTGTCATGCTCTGACATCAACTGACACAGAAATGCTGGACCACTCTGACCACCATCATGTCAGACTACACAGAGAAGCCACTGAAATCCACAAGAAGCAGGTGGACAATCTCAAGAGAAAGGAGGAAACCATGAAAAGGAACAAAAACCAGTATTTAAAAACTCTAAAATTATAACAGCAAATAAAGCACAAAACTCAAACACGGGGGAACTCCAGACAAGAAACAATCAGGGACAACTAATCACCTCCCAACAAATTTATTTATTTATTTATTTATTTATTTATTGTATTTATTGTATTTATACCCCGATCTTCTCAACCCCGAAGGGGACTCAGAGCGGCTTACAGATTATGCCAACGGAATTTCCCAGGCAGTAACAAGCCACACCTAAAAACTGTCAGGCCATCAAATGTTAATAAAGGTGGACAATTGAAACGAGTTCTTTCTCCCACTCTGGGCATTATTCCACAGATATATAAACCCCATCTTCCTAGTTTCCAATAGACCTCACAACTTCTGAGGATCCCTGCCATTGATGTGGGTGAAACGTCAGGAGAGAATGCTTCTAGAACAGTGGTTCCCAACCTTTCTAACACTGTGACCCCTAAATATGCTTCCTCATGTTGCGGTGACCCCCAACCATAAAATTATTTTCGTTGCTCCTTTATAACTGTAATTTTGCTACTGTTACGAATCGTAATGTAAATATCTGATATGAAGGATGTGTTTTCATTGTGACAAATTCAACATAATTAAAGCATCGTGATTAATCAGAAAAAAATATGTTTGGGGGAGTATGGAAAACAGATGATGGGATTTGCAGTACCTTCAGCCAATTCAGCGCTGACTTCCACAGACCCCTGAGACCTCCACACAGAACTCACACGTCAAACAAAAAATACTGGAGGAGTTTGGGAGGAACCGACAGTGATTTAGGATTTTTCTTTTCCGTCCTTCCTCATTCTCTTCGTTCTTCCTTCTCTACCTCTTTCCTTCCTTCCTCCCTTCGCTTTTGCTTCCATCCTTCCTTCCCTTTCCTTCTTTCCTTCCCTCCCTCTTTCTCTCCTTCCTTCACTCCCTCTTTCCTTCCTTCCCTTTTTTATCTTTCCTTCTCTCCTTCCTTCCTTCCTCACGCACTCGCGCACACTTTGTCTCTCCAAAGTCTTTCTCACACACATAAACATTCTTTCTCTATACCAGGCCTGGGCCAACTTAGGCTCTCCAGGTGTTTTGGACTTCAACTCCCACAATTCCTAACAGCTTCAGGCCCCTTCCTTTCCCCCTCAGCCGCTTAAGCATTGCAACACACATACAGTCTCCCTCAACACAAATCCAAGCCAAGACTGGATGCAGGCATGGGAGGGGGGGCCTTGAGGAAGATATTCCAGAAGCATTCTCTCCTGACGTTTTGCCTACATTTCTGCCCCACGCCCTTGCCGGCCGGCGGAAACGCGAGGGAGGACTCTCGCAAGGCAAGGCGTTGCACGAGGGGCCCTCGCCTGCCCTGTGCCCTTGCCGGCCGGCCAGAGTGCGACGCAGGTGAGGGAGCCATTTTGAGGGGGTGGGGCCAAGCGAGGCGCCTCCGCGACCCCCAGAAAATGGCCCAGCGACCCCCCTGGGGGTCGCGACCCCCCGGTTGAGAACCACTGTTTTAGAACATGGCCAGACAGCCCAAAAAACCTACAACAACCCAGGAATTCAGAACGCTCTTTGATTGTAGGTGAACTATAAGTCCCAGCAACTACAAATCCCTAATGACAAAATCAATACCACCCCTCCTTAACCTTACCAATGAGGAAAGGAAGCGAGGGTAAGAGACTCACCATGAGTTCCAAGTAGCTCATTCGTTCGGCAGGATTCTTCCTCAAGCTGCAGAAAAAGAAAACGCAGGGAGTTGGAATGTCCCGTTATTCTGCAGGCTCTACCTGACAGCCTTGAGAGTCATTATTTTTCATTTACATGCATTGCAAAATGGATCCAACTCTGGTCCATTCTCCCTAAAGTAAGGACCGCACAACAGGAAATAACCCTTTCAAACCAGGAACAGAACGCTTTTCCAATTTTGTGATATGTGGGGAGTGATGTCAATGAGTTTCAAGATGAGTTTCAAGATGGCAATGGTTTGGGCAGTGATACTGATGCCGAGAATGACCAGGAGATCCCTGTGCAGAGTGTAGTTTCCCATGAGAATGTCCCTGAGGGGTGTGGGGATGAGGGTGTTCTTTCTGAGTTGTGCCAGAGAGTTCCCATGACAGGGAACATGAAAACAGCTCGGCACCTGGCCCAGCTGCAGAAATTAAGGAGCAAATAGACGGGAGGAGATCAGTCAAAACAGGAAAGCCAAACAGTGGCTTCGGCGGTCTGCCAGGCTCCGAGAGAAAAAGATAAGAAATTCTCTGTTGTGATTGAGTCACCTGGCAATTTTACAACTGCTAGTAGGAGTACTGCAAAGAGGAGTGGGGAGTTATTAGATAAAGAGCTGCAGCGGAAAAGGATTAGGGAAATATTCATGACTCCAACAGATGACGACAGCTTCGAAGGGTTCTCCGAAATGAGTGAGAATGAGGATGGGGGGGGAGGAGTGAAAAGGTATACTCAAGAGCAGGAGTCAGACGAGGAGTGTCAGAGGAAAAGGATTTGTGAAATACTTGCTGCTCCTACAGACAGTGAAGACTTCCTGGGTTTTCAAGGGAGTGAGAGCAGCAAAGATGAAAGGGAAAGTTTAGATTGGACTAAGGTTAATGAGGTTAGGATGTTTGTTTACAACCCTCATCCAGTGACACCTTTGAAGGGTTTACAGGGGACTGGCAGACTGATGACAACACGCAGACATGGGGAGATCTAAGTCTTGGTAAAATTTGGACCGATTGGAGGGATGGGCATGGGCGCTCAGCTACAGCATCTCGGGCAGCTGCTGGAGATGGGGATGGGGCGGGGGACAGCTCATCAACAGATGATGACTCCAACAGATGATGAGCTGTAACATAAAACTTTGCTCAAGTCGAATGGAACTTTGCAGAAGGCAAAGTGTTGTTTCGTGCTTTGGGTCCTGTCTCTGGCACTTGCCTTGTTGGGTCCTGGGACTACAGGTTGCTGTATCTTCCGTGTATCGACTGGCTTGAACTACGTGAGTGTGTACCTCTCCTTTCCTGACCCCAGCTTTCCCTGACTACGTTTCTGCCTCCTGGATTCTGTCTGGCTTATACTGGGATTTCTGGACTTCGGACTGCATTTAGATGACGGCTTCATCATCTTGTGTTTTGTGTTATTGTCCCCTTTGAATTGTGTTATTTTGGAGCATTTTGCTCACACTCGGATTTCATCTGGCTTATACTTCTGTTTAATCCACTTTATTTTCCAAGTACTCTATTTTTGCCTGCAAGTTGCTGCAACTTTTGTTTATGTCAGAGGCACTGATAGTGTCTTTGAACCCTTTTGTTGGACTGAATAAACTCTTGTTTTGGACTTTAAATTGGTGTTGGGCTCTTTAAGGCGTCTGGATCACGACATTCTCAGCTAAAGTGAAACCAATTTCTGAGTGCTAGAGACATAGCTAACGAGGAGATAAAAGTCCAAGTACAGGATATGTAGTCAGATGAAGCATCGTTTGGAATCAAGTCAAGATCTTGTTCTTGTTCATGGAAGTTTTGTTTGGGAAATTTATGCTTTAAGTGCCTTTGTTTCATAGTTTTGATTCTTGGATTTTATGCTTGATGCCTTGGGTTCATGTTTCCTGATTTCTTGCCTTTTATTTGGTAAGTTTTGACTTTGTTTTTTATGGACTTTGCTGGATTACTACCCAGGACGACTTTGTTCCTGCTTATCTTCCTACCTAATTGGATTTACCTATTTCTTTAAAGTGTTTTTTCACCTTACTGCTTTCTAATTATCTATATAAATAAAAATGTAATGTCCGTTTGTGGGAATAACAGAACTCAAAAACCACTGGATGAATTGACACCAAATTTGGCAGCAAAACACATTCTAATCCGATCTATGTCTTTTGAACAAAAAAAAACATAAAAAAATGAAGGGGAAATAAGTTAAAACTCTCCAAAAAGAAAAATGCCTTACAGAGCATGTGGAAAAGCCCCTTTCCCCATTGTGCGAGAAGAATGAAGCACCAACCGTTGTGAGGGAAGAGAAGCCTCACCATGGAGTCCCTTTCCATGCAGGAAGGCAAAGTCCTTTTTCTTTTGGGGAGGGATTGAGGAAAGGAAAGAGGGAAGGAAGGAAGGAGAAGGCCTGGCCCAACGGAGGGTGGGGGCTTGGCGAGGCAAGCCCTGGCAGCAGCTGGAGCCACCGCAGAGGCTCCATGAGGCCCACGTGGCTACCAGGCAACTCTTCCCCCAAGACCAGAGGATAGAAAGGCAAGCCTGACTGCAAGAGCGGCTGCACACCGCACGCCCCCCTCCCCAATTGGGTGAAGAGATGATCCAAACCATGGGAAGGCCAGCAACTCTCCCACTTGGGCTCGACATCCCCCCTTTCACCCCCCTCTCAAAAAAACCTTTAAAAACCCTTACAAAGTGTCCCGGAGGAAGGAGGGGAAAGAAAGGGAAAGGAGAGAAGAAAGGAAGAAAAGGATTGGTGAAGAAAAGGGAAGATTATGAATGGAAGGAAAGGGAGGAAGGAAGAGGAAGGAAGGGAAAGGAGGCAGGGATGGGAGAGGAAAGGAAAGGAAGGGAAGAGGCAGGGAAGGAAGGAAGGAGGGAGGGAGGGAGGGAGGGAGGGAGGGAAGGAAGAAAGGAAGGAAGGAGGAAGGAAGGAAGGAAACTGGTGAAGAGAAGAGAAGAATATAGAATCAGAGAGTCCTAGAGTTGGGAGAGACCTGGTGGGCCATCCAGGCCAGCCCCATTCTGTGAAGAAGCAGGAAAATCACATTCAAAGCACCCCCAACAGATGGCCAGTGTTTTGGCCAGCATGAATATCACTGAAAAGCCTTGCAGCTTCAGTGGCTGCTTCTGTTTACTTTATTTTCCATACCAGCTTGCACCTTAACAGCCTGGCTTCTATTAGCCAGCAGGAAATTTTTGGTGGGAGGACTTCCCTAGCCCAGATTGCTTCACGTCTGCAAATCCTCTGTTTTCTGAGGACCACAGCAACGCGTGGCCAGGTACAGCTAGTCTTCAGTAAAAGGATTGTTTTCCATCCACAGGCTTTTCCTGTCCTGGAGTGCAACAATGGGGGAAAGAGGGCTTACCACTGTGCCGTGAAGTCCACAAAGTCCTTGGAGAAGCGATCTTCGGGGAGCTGCGGAGAGGGCTCTTCGACCACCTGCTTTAGCTGCTGGAAAGGGGTTCCCCAAGACTCGTAGGGAAAGCGGAGGATGGCCATCTCGATCTAAGCAAGGTCAGAGCAAAACCATGTAAAATACGAGTGTATTTTATACTGTGGTCAATAGTGTTGGCAAGCGCATATTATTGATTTGATGAGAGAGGCTGCAGGACGGTAGAAAATTGAACAGAGGCCGCGCAACTGGCCCCCAGGCCGGACTTTGGCCATACTTTCCGTCTCAGAGGAAAGGTCCAAAAAGGTGCGACTATTATGTGGTGAAATACATACAGCCCCTTTCCCCACCCACCTCTTGGGACACCAATGGACACTCTTTCCTTCCTTTAATAATACTCCCGTCTCAGAGGAAAGGTCCAAAAAGGTGCGACTATTATGTGGTGAAATACATACAGCCCCCTTTTCCCACCCACCTCTTGGGACACCAATGGACACTCTTTCCTTCCTTTAATAATACTCCAGTCTCAGAGGAAAGGTCCAAAAAGGTGCGACTATTATGTGGTGAAATACATACAGCCCCCTTTTCCCACCCACCTCTTGGGACACCAATGGACACTCTTTCCTTCCTTTAATAATACTCCAGCCTCAGAGGAAAGGTCCAAAAAGGTGCGACTATTATGTGGTGAAATACATACAGCCCCTTTCCCCACCCACCTCTTGGGACACCAATGGACACTCTTTCCTTCCTTTAATAATACTCCCGTCTCAGAGGAAAGGTCCAAAAAGGTGCGACTATTATGTGGTGAAATACATACAGCCCCTTTTTCCCACCCACCTCTTGGGACACCAATGGACACTCTTTCCTTCCTTTAATAATACTCCCGTTTCAGAGGAAAGGTCCAAAAACGTGCGACTATTATGTGGTGAAATACATACAGCCCCCTTTTCCCACCCACCTCTTGGGACACCAATGGACACTCTTTCCTTCCTTTAATAATACTCCAGTCTCAGAGGAAAGGTCCAAAAAGGTGCGACTATTATGTGGTGAAATACATACAGCCCCCTTTTCCCACCCACCTCTTGGGACACCAATGGACACTCT